TGCCCCGTAGCCCTTTCCAGCCTTGTGGAGGTCCACAATTTTGTCTCTGGTGTCTTTTGACAGCTCTTTGGTCTTGCCCATGGTAGTAGTTGGCGTCTGACTGACTGTGGGATGGACAGGTGTCTTTAAAAAGCTCAGACAGGTGCTACTAAGTAAGATTAATGAGTGGAGTAGAGGTGGACTTTTTAAAGGCACAGTAACAGGTCTTTGAGAGCCAGAATTCTTGCTGTTTCTTAGGTGTTCAAATACTTATGTTCAGCAGTGCAAGACAAATAAATTCTTTAAAAAATCATACAATGTGATTTCCTGAATGTTTTCTTAAATTCTGTCTCTCAGAGTGGGAATGCACCTACAATGTGAATTTCAGACCCCTCCATGATTTCTAAGTGGAAAAAACTTGCAAAATCGCAGGGTGTTCAAATACTTTTGTTCCTTACTGTATATTCTGTGTATCCAAGAATAAATCCATGCCTATTTTAAAGCAATCCACTGAGCTGGCCACATTTTTACAGCTCTTAGTGAGAAGAAACCTTTTCGTATTTAGAGATTAAATTTATTTTCCTCCAGACGTATAGAGTGCCCCTTTGTCCTCTGTGATGACCTCAGGGTGAATAGCTCTACACCGAGTTCACTATATGAACCACTGATGTATTTATACATGTTCATCATATCCCCCCTTAATCTTCCTCTTCTCAAGAGAGAATAAATTCAGTTCCTCTAATCTTTCCTCATAGCTGAGCTCCTCCATGCCTCGTATCAGTTTGGTTGCCCTTCTCTGTACTTTCTCAAGTTCCCCAATGTTCTTTTTGTGAATTGGTGCCCAAAACTGAACTGCATATTCCAGATGAGGCATTACTAATGATTTGTACAAGGGTAAAATGATATATCTCTCTGGAGTCTACACCTCTTAATACAAGAGAGGATTTTGCTCGCTTTAGAAACTGCAGCTTGGCATTGCATGCCATTATTAACCTTGTGATCTACTAGTTTCTCCCAGATCCTTCTCCACCATTGATTCCCCCAGTTGTACTCCCCTTAGTATGTATGATGCATGCATATTCTTAGCCCCCAAGTGCATAACCTTGCATTTAATCAACATTAACCAATTCAATACCGGCAATTATTACACAACTTCCTGCCCAGGCCAGTTTTCAGCGCTCTCACACTTTGAATGACAATTGCGCGGTCATACAACATTGTACCCAAACTAAAATTTTTATCATATTTCTTCACACAACTAGAGCTTTCTTTTGGTGGTATTTAATCATCGCTGGGGTTTTTTTATTTTTTGCTAAATTAACAAAAAAAGACCTAAAATTTAAAACAAAAAAAAAAACACAAAAAAAAACACGTTTTTGTTTCTGTTATAAAAGTTTGCAAATAAATAATTGTTCTTCAAAAATTTAGGCCGAGATGTATTCTGCTACAGGTCTTTGGTGAAAATAAACCCAAATTAGGATGTATTTTTTTAGTTTGTAGGAAAGGTTATAGAGTTCACAAACTACTGTAGTATAGATCTGAATATTGATCAATCCTGAAGTACTGACAGCCAATTAATTTCTTGAGGTCCAAGAATGTCAGAATAGTACAGATATCCCCCAAAATGACCCCTTTTTGCAAAGTAGACAGTCCGACGTACTTCATAACAGGCATGGCGAGTTTTTTGAAGTTGTATTTTTGTCATAATTTTTCAGAAAATGAAAAAACTAAAAAAAAAAAAAAAAAAAAAAAAAATCACTTTTTTTTTTTTTTTAACATACTGTCACCAGTGCAGTACAGCGTCATCATATAACTGGCATGGCGGTGATCAGGACACTGACTGGTGACAGTGTGGAAAAAAAAAATTATATATATATTTATTTTATTCTACTTTATTCAAAGAATTTTCTTTTTTCATATTTCACTAATGTCCAAAGTAGTACAATGTTACCATAGTAACATTGTACTACTTTGGGGAAGTGATCAGTATTTTTTTTTTTTTTTTTTTTTTTTTTTTACACAATTTGCTTATAGCAAAGAATTACTTTGCTATAAGCAGGCATTTACCTGAATGACATCGATTCATTCAGGGGTTTTTTTTTTGTGCTTAGCTGTGATTTGGCCACAGCTAATCACATGACACTAGTATAACACAATGGATGGCATGAATGAAGCCATCCATTGTATACAACTGTCATGAGTGACCTGCTGTGATTGGTCACAGCAGGTCACATGGTACCAGTAAATGGGTGGCCGGTACTTTTAGATCTGTCATCGCCGTATCCGAGGTACATGGCTGGTGACAGATTGCGCCGCTGCGCGGCTCTGCAAACGCGCGAACTGCGCATGTGCGGGACGATGCCATATGGCGGCCTCCCGGAAAGCTAGTACATTTTTCAGGACACCATACGGCTAATGGCCATCGTCAAATGGTTAAACCTAAATTATGTGATTTGATGAGAAGACTCAGTGATGGAGAGAATGTGATGTAATAAGGGAATCTGATATAAGAGGGGGACTGAGACGTGATGGTGGGGACCTCTGACATGATAGGGGGCTGTGACGTGATGGGGGGACCTCTGATTTAATGAAGGTACAGTTGTGTTCAAAACTTTGCATACCCTGGGGAGATATTGTGAAATTTTGGCATTGATATTGAAAAGATGACTGATCATGCCAAAAAATGCTCTTATTGCAGGATGATGATTATATAAAGCCATTTATTATCAAAATAGTTGTTTGGCTCCGTTTTTAAATCATAACAACAGAAATCACCCAAATGGCCATGATCAAAAGTTTACATACCCTGGAATGTTTGGCCTTGGTACAGATACACAAGGTGACACACACAGGTTTAAAATGCCAATTAGAGGTTATTGTCCCACATCTGTTGCTTTTTAAATTGCAATTAGTGTCAGTGTATAAAATAGTCAATGATCTGTTAGCTCTTATAGTTGGAAGCACTGACTAGGCTAGATACTGAGTCCATGGGGATCAGAAAAGAACCGTCAAAGTCCTGCGTAACAAGGTAATGGAACTTTATAAAGATTGAAAAAGGACATAAAAAGATGTCCAAAGCCTTGAATGTGCCAATCAGTACTGTTACAAATCACCTATTAAGAAGAAGTGGAAAGTTTGGGGATCTCTTGATACCAAGCCAAGGTCAGGTAGAACCAAGAAGGATTGCAGCCATAAACTGCCAGAAGAATTGTTGAGGATACAAAAGGGAAACCCATAAGTAACCACAGAAAAATACACGCTGCTCTGGAAAAAGACAGTGTGGTTGTTTTGAAGGAGCACAATATGACGACACTTGAACAAAAATGAGCTGCATGGTCGAGGTGCCAGAAAGAAGCCTTTACTGCATCAAAATGACAGTATAGACTGTATTTCGCTAAGATGCCCGTCCAAGAGTTTTTTTTAGAACTATCAATACTTCCCTCTGACACCACCAATTGTAACATTGACCACCCTGACAGTGAAGAACCCTACACAGTTTAAGGTTAAACTGCTTCTCCTATTTCATTGACGTCTTGCACTCACTGAGAGACTGAATAGTTTTTTATTTTTCCCTTTTTCTAGAGTCATCATTGAGGTCATTGTATATCACTAGCATATATCTCCTCTCAAGCATCTCAAGTGTGTTTTTCCTTGGGTTCCTTCTCTCTGGATACCAAAGATTGGCACACCTGAAATAGGCTGTTGAGGGACAACTCCAAGGATTTCTTCCCCCAGTGTATACATTCTTCATTGCTAGGAGTGCAGCTTAGGTCAGATTAGGGCTGTCCCCCAAGTTAAAAAGGTCAAAGTATGCTGCTTCCAACTTTCCTTGTTCCACTCATGACCAGTCTTTGACAAACTAGTTGAACTTCAGACAGGCATCACTTCCACTCCCCAAAACCAGAAACGTAGGCTAATTAATGGTCTATTTCCTTTTTTTCTATGAGCTAAGCCTCACAGCACATGCATTAAAAAGGTGGGACTGAGTATCTTACATTCCCCATTGCCTTGTGGGTGGTACAGGGTTAAAACCTAGTGAGTGGCACTTTTCATGGAAGGGTCTATGACCCACACATACATGGTTTATCTTCTGAAGCAGGTGAAGGCTTTGTGGACACCCCACTTTCACACGGATTAGCAGTTTCCTGATGTCTAGTAGTAGTTTCATCCTTTACTAGGCCACTGTAACCAACATCCTCTCTACTTGGGAGCAACACCACTGGATCCTCTGTTTTTTTCCCCAGTTGTATTCTTCCAGTACATAGATGTTCACTTCATGTCAGCTCTAAAGTCATTCCTACAGTCAAGTCAGGACTTCATTCACATTGTCAGTTTTTGGATGGGGAGTCATTCCACCTCCTGACATCTGGTGCTTCAATCTGGATAAGTTTGTTAGGAGATGAGCAATTCCTTCTGCTGGTTTTTGCTTGACCACCACCCATTGACCCACCCATTTGGTCGGCCCTTAAGATGTTGCTACACCACTCCTAAGTGGTCAACTTTCTTAAGTAATACTGGTCATCCACTAGGAAGTGCAGAATTAACGATCTTGCTCTCCTCTCTAAGGCATTAATGGCCAGTTCTTTCTAATGAAAAGACAGGATCCAATGTGATCAGGTCAGGCCCTGCAATTTCTTGGTTCGGTCACCCAAGTTCTGACCTGGCCATCTGTATTTGGGTAGTTCTTGCAGCAGTAATCCTGCCAGGAAGAAGAGGGTCATTATTTCAGGGGTAGTAGGTTACCTGTGCATTCCCTCTGGAATGATACTAATGAACACCGCTGGTTATGCTACTCCCTAATTAACAATTGTCTGATAATGGCCAATCCTGTTTGTTATTTCCTGGTTTCTCTGGCCTAGACAAAATTGATGACATACATCCCATGAGTAGAGATGACGAAGTATTCAAAAATCGATTCGACTGATTCGGCGAATTCGTTGAAAAATTTCGATTCGAGTCAAATATATTCGCCTGCGAATTTTAACTTATAAAAGGGTTGTTTTCTAGGCTTCCAGAGAGCCTTATTATTAGTGCAGAACACTGTACCTTTAATTTAAATGCAACCCATGGGAGTCTGCTGGGAAGAGAAATTATACTGACAGTCCAGTATGACATGCAGATGAGTGCCCGTCGATCGTTAGAATCACCGCACCACTTCACTCATTTGGTCAGAGTCACGGGGCCAAAACCAGAGTGTGGGAGCCACAGTGTGGCGGTGGGACCTGGCAGCAGCAGCATAAGATGGGAAGGCCATACAGCACCCTAGGACAAAAAATGGAAACCACCAGCAGTGTGAGGAGACCTGAAAGTGGCACATGGCAGAGTGTGGCGATTTTTTGGAGACAGCAGCAATGGAGAGTCCGTAACAGGGACCCATGACACACCTCTGGACCTGGCAGCAGCATGAGGAGGCGGTACAGGGGCCCATGACAGATTACGGGCCTTTGGCAGCAGCATGAGGAGTGGGGGGGTATGGGGGCCCATGGCATATTACGGCCTGGCAGCAGCTATGGGAGGCCGTAATCTGCCAGCACCCTCATGACAAAAAATGTAACACACCAGCAGTGTGGAGGAGACCTGAAAGTGGCACAATGGCAGAGTGTGGCAATGGAGACAGCAGCAATGGGAGGCCTGTACAGGGACCCATGAGAGACTCTGGACATGGCAGCAGCAGTGTGAGGAGACCTGAAAGTGGCACATGTTTTTGGGGCATGATTCATGGCGGATTTAGGTCAGTTTGTGTGTCAGGAACTGGTGGTTTGAAATCCAGACTAATCCACAGCCTGATTCAATTTCACAAAACGTGAGTCTCTCCACACTTTGGGTGTGGACAGTTCGTGTCCTCCGCGGTAGTTACAATACCTCCTGCCGCACTAAACACTCACGCGCTCCACCCTGCCGATGTCCACGCTACTGGCCGGTGGCATGACAGCCTTTCAAGGGCAAATTCAGCTAGTATGGGGCCAAAGGTCAAGTTTCGTTGCCCATGTAGTCAAGGGGATTGTCTACCTCGGTTGGCAGGGTGCTGTCCAAGTAGGCCCGAGCCTGTTTGAGGTCCTGCTCCAGGTCCACCTGATGCTGCTGCTGCCTGCGGCTGGTTAGTAGTTTCCTCACTGCGCTGTTGAAGAAAGCTACTCATCATCGACTGCAGACTGAGGCAGCCGCTGCTGTTGGAGCTACCACTGCTCCTTACCCCACCCCTTCCCCTGCTGCCCATGGCAGCGGAACGCGAGCGCACAGGGCCCACAGTGTCTGAGGATGGACGTTGGCGCACAAAGGCAGAGACCAACTGACTACATAGGTGGTTTTTTATAGTACGTTATTTTGGCCTCCCTCTCAGCAGGTGTGAAAAAGGCCACCATTTTTGAACGGTAGCGGGGGTCGGGGGGTCCAACAAGGTGGACAGCCAAAAGTCATCCCTCTGTCTGATGGTTATTATTCGGCTAAACTGTCGCTACGCAAGCAACCGAGCATGCTATGGGCCATTTTGTGCCAAGGAATGCGAGGGACTCCCTGCCTCCATCTCCACATGCATTACTGCAAGACGATGCGTCTGGGTCCTCTGTCTCCTCCTCCTCTACCAGATGCTCCTTGCGAAGCTCCTCCACCTCCTGTCCGCTGAGTGGAAAAAAACCACCCATTTCACTCAATAATTCCTGAGCACACCAATGTCCTCCTCTACCTCCTCCTCTTCTTCCTGTCCTGCCCCCACAGGGGTCATGTGGCGTTGAGATCTGTGCGCCACGTCTACCGCACCCTGACCAGCCATTGTTAACAGCAATTTGTTCCAGGACGTGCAACAGAGGAATGACGTCGTTCATTCCCATAGTCCTGCCGACTCACTAATAGCGTGGGCCTCCTCAAAGGGCCTGAGCAAGCGGCAGGTGTCACGCATGAGCTGCCAATGGCTGACATCTAAGTTACACAGGGAGTACCTTTATCCGCTTTTAACATCAGGAAATCTGGTGATTGGCCTTTTGCCTGTTCGTAAAGGCGTCTAACATATGTAGGGTTGAAAATTCCACCTTGTTGCATCACGTCACAGCATGAGGAGTCGGTGTACGGGGGCCCATGGCAGAGATTACGGGCCTGGCAGCAGCAATGAGGCCCTTAATCTGCCAGCACCCTATGACAAAAAATGTAAAACACCAGCAGTGGTGAAGAGATCTGAAAGTGGCACATGGCAGAGTGTGGTGATGGGAGACAGCAGCAATGGGAGGCCGTCGCAGGAGTGCGCGCCCATGACACACTCTGGACCTGGCAGCAGCATGAAGAGGCGGTACATGGGGGCCCATGGCTGATTACAGGCCTGTGCAGCAGCAATGGGAGGGCCCGTAATTATGCCAGCACCCTATGACAAAAAATGGAAAACACCACCCAGCAGTGTGTGAGGAGACCTGAAAGTGGCACATGGCATGAGACACTGTGGACCTGGCAGCAGCAATGAGGAGGTGGTACAGGGGCCCATGGCAGATTAGGGGCCTGGCAGCAGCTATGGAGGCCCGTAATCTGCCAGCACCCTATGTTCAAAAAAATTGAACACACCAGCATGTGTGTGAGGAGACCTGAAAGTGGCACAATGGCAGAGTGTGGCGATGGAGACAGCAGCAATGGGGAGCCAGTACAGGGACCCATGACACACTCTGGACTTGGCAGCAGCATGAGGGATGGCGGTATAGGGGGCCCATGGCAGATTAGGGGTCCTGGCAGCAGCTAGTTGGGGAGGCCCGTAATCTGCCAGCACCCTATGTCAAAAAATTGAACACACCAGCAGTGTGAGGAGACCTGAAAGTGGGGCACATGGCATGAGACACCTGTGGACCTGGCAGCCAGCAAGAGGAGGTGGTACAGGGGCCCCCATGGGCGGGAGATTAGGGGCCTGGCAGCAGCTATGGGAGGCCCGTAATCTGCCAGCTAACCCTATGACAAAAAATGGAACACACCAGCAGTGTGAGGAGACCTGAAAGTGGCACATGTTTGGGGCATGATTCATGGCGGATTTAAGTCAGTTGTGTCAGGAACATGGTGGTTTGAAATCCAAGACTTAATCCACGCCTGATTCATTTTCACAAACGTGAGTATCTCTCCACACTTTGGGTGGACAGTCGTGTCCTCCGCGGAGTTACAACAATACCTCCTGCCGCACTAAACACGCGCTCCGATGCCACGCTACTGGCCGGGCATGACAGCCTTTCAAGGGCAAATTCCAGCTAGTTGGGGCCAAAGGTCAAGTTTCGTTGCCCAGTAGTCAAGGGGATTGTCTACCTCGGTTGGGCAGGGTGCTGTGTCCAAGTAGGCCCGAGCCTGTTTGAGGTCCTGCTCCAGGTCCACCTGATGCTGCTGCAGCTGCGGCTGGTTATAGTTTTCCTCACTGCGCTGGTGAATGAAAGCAACTTCATCATCGACTGCAGACTGAGGCAGCCGCTGCTAGGTGGAGCTACCACTGCTCCTCAACCACCCCTCCCCTGCTGCCATGGCAGCGGACCTCGATTTGTCGAGCGCACAGGGCCCACAGTGTCTGAGGATACGGACGTTGGCGCACAAAGGCAGAGAGACCAACTGACTACATAGGTGTTTTGTATAGTACGTTTATTATTGGCCTCCCTCTCAGCAGGTGTGAAAAATGGCCAACCATTATTTGAACGGTTAGCGGGGGGTTCCAACAAGGTGGGTCACAACCAAAAGTCATCCCTCTGTTCTGATGGTTACATTATTCGGCAGTCGCAAACGCAAGCAACCGAGCATTGCTATGGGCCATTTGTGCCAAGGAATGCGAGTGGACTCCCTGCCTCCATCTCCACAGCAATACTGCCACGATGCGTCTGGGTCCTCTGTCTCCTCCTCCTCTACCGAGATGCTCCTGCTCCTCCACTCCTGTCCCGCTGAGTGGAAAAACCACCCATTTCACTCAATAGAATCCTGAGCACAAATGTCACAGCCTACTACCTCCTCCTCTTCTTCCCTGTCCTGCCCCCCATGGGTCATCAATGTGGCGTTGAGATCTGTGCGCCACAGTCGACCGCACCCTGACCTGCCATTGTTAACAGCATTTGTTCCAGGAGTGCAACAGAGGAATGACGCGTTCATTCCCATAGTCCCTGAGCCGACTCACGAATAGCGAGGCCTCCTCAAAGGGCATTGAGCAAGCGGCAGGTGTCCCACGCATGACTTTGCCAATGCTGACATCGAAGTTACACCAGGGGAGTACCTTTATCCGCTTGTAACATCAGAAAATCGGTGATGGCGCTTTCGCTGAGTTCGTAAAGGCGGTTTTCTAAACATAATGTAGGGTTGAATTCCACCTTGTTTGCAACGTCGCAGATCAGAGCGATGCTGTGGAATTCCGTTCTGCCGCACGCAGCTCAAGGAGGGTGTGCTTTGCGGTGTATGAAAGAGGCTGAAATGCATGCAAAGTTTACGAGACATTTTAAGAGGATGTCTTGCAGTGGTATTCGATGGAGGATTTTAGGAACCGCTTGGACAACTCAGATTGAACACGTGAGCCATGCATGGCGCATGGCTCAACCTTCCTTGACGCAAAGCAGACACCAAGTTCTTTCCGTTGTCGGTCAAATGGTTTTCCGATTTTCAGTTTTGCGCGCGGAGACAGCCATACTGTCGATTTCTCTGTTCATTACACTGAGAAGAATCCTCCCCTGTGTGACCTACTACGTTCGCAAAGGCATACCAGGTGCAAGCACAGCGTGACACCGTGTTGCGCCCCTGGCACATGTTGATATGCCGGGACGGGTAAATGGGACTTGGCACGGGGGTGGGGCGGCTTGAGGACACGAAGGAAGAAGAGGATAGTAGAGGCGGACATCTTATTTGTGGACCAAGGACGTGCAAAACGTGGATGCAAAAAGCTGCGTTGACCTGTCCGGGCCAAGTTGTCTGGTGCGGCTGTGTGACGGCACCAAACGTTGTTCACCAGTGAGTGGCCGTAAATGACATGTACTGTCCCCTGACCGTAGTTACAGCTCCACACGTCGTGCGCTGCACTAGTAGCACTTTGGCAGAGAGCCGACATGCTCAAGATCCTTGGCCCACCATCTCTTCTACATGTGAAAGCAGGGCTCGTGGCACTGCAATTTTTGGGCGAAGAGAATGCCCGGCTTGGCACTCTCACACCGCGGCGCTTTTTTCGCACAAGCCAATAACATTTCTCTGGAAAGGGTGCTGAGTCCACCACATTGGAAAGGGAGGGACTGCAGCACCAGCAATTTGTGGACAGAGGAGGACGTTCAGCTTTTGCACCGTCGGGTGGCGTGCTCGCAAACTGTTGTCTCTTGGAAACGGATTCCAAGAAAGACTGCTGACGGGAATCCGTGAAGATGATCAGTAGCAGGCTGAAGGAGCATCTGTGAACGAGGGAAGATGGCAACGAGCGACAACTCCCCCTCAGCAAGAGTCTGTTGGAGCCTTGACTGGCTGATAGAGGGCGATCGAATTGACGTCGGGTGAACGTGAGAGCAAAGTAACGGAGCGTAGTGATGGAGCGGGGGCTGGGGCGGGCAGAACCGCCGTATCTTTATCACGGTTTTCCCAGGCCACCAAAAGGCGACGCTGCTGCATAAGCTGCCGCAACGCTGTAGTCCCAACTTTCTGGCCAAACATAGTCGACATACGGCTACGTTACTTCCTCGGGCGGACGCTTGACAAAAAATTGCCACACCGCCGAGTAGGAAACTTTGCCCCCGATACACCTCACTGGCTGACTGCTGCTTCCTCCGTGCACTACCGGCACCACTACTGGCCCGTGGTGGTAGGCTGCAGTGGAGCTTGGTGCTCTACTCCGTGGCAGTTTGCCTTCCACTGACATAGCCAGCTGCGACCCTGCTGCCTCCTGGGCAACCCACCGACTGTTTTGCTCGCTGCCAAGCTGCCACCCTCTTCTCACCTGATGATGCGGAAGCAATAGCCTGATGACGACGAGGCTGCCAAGTGCGATCAGCCTCATCATCATCAATTAGGGTCTCCGCCTCACTACTAGCCCCCTCGGCTGCGTGTGGGTCAGGAGACAGACCTGTCTCTAGACCGGCTACCGAGCCACTCTCCTCGCCACTAACTTCGTTTCGCCTGGCTGCTGAAGAGGCGGATGTCTCCCCCCGTTCCCGGACGCGCCTCTGGTTAGCTCTTTCCTCACTGTACAGTGGGGCTGAGCCCACAGGCATGCGATACTTCGCTTGGTGAGGGGAACACCAAAGGACAGGGGCAGGTAGAGGACACGTGATTTCAGTGGGCTTGCTCCCGGGCGCCATTGCCAACTAACGGTTTGTGTCTGACGTACCCACCGACCGGTTGGCTGTAGGTGTCAGAGGTGACCTGGGAAGAGGAAGAACGACCGAGCCAACCAATCGATGACGGCAGGGTTTGTCGGTGGAGGACACGACCGCTGGATGACACCGGGAGCAACTGGCCTTCTGGCTGCGAATAGTGCTGCCTTGACCCCTTTCCTCTGCTGCCACGTCTGATCGCTCCTAAAACATTGCCCCCTCTGCCACTCCTCTGCACTTGTTTGTCTGACATACTCTTTCTTTAAACGATTCTGTGGCCCCTCAGTAACAGTTCTGTGGCCTCAGTAACAAGTTCTGTGGCCCTCAGTAACAGTTCTGTGGCCCTCAGTAACAGTTCTGTGGCCCTCAGTACAGTTCTGTGGCCCTCAGTAACAGTTCTGTGGCCCTCAGTAACAGTTCTGTGGCCCTCAGTAACAGTTCTGTGGCCCCTCAGTAACAGTTCTGTGGCCCTCAGTAACAGTTCTGTGGCCCTCAGTAACAGTTCTGTGGCCCTCAGTAACAGTTCTGAATGGGCCCTCAGTAACAGTTCTGTGGCCCTCAGTAACAGTTCTGTGGCCCTCAGTAACAGTTCTGTGGCCCTCAGTAACAGTTCTGTGTCTGTCCCTGAGTAACGTTTTCTGTGGCCGCCCTACGTAACGTTTCTGTGGCCCTACGTAACGATTCTGTGGCCCTAAGTAACGATTCTGTGGCCCTAAGTAACGATTCTGTGGCCCTAAGTAACGATTCTGTGGCCCTAAGTAACGATCTGTGGGCCCTAAGTAACGATTCTGTGGCCCTAAGTAACGATTTCTGTGGCCCTAAGTAACGATTCTGTGGCCCTAAGTAACGATTCTGTGGCCCTAAGTAACGATTCTGTGGCCCTCAGTAACGATTCTGTGGCCCTCAGTAACAATTCTGTATCCCTCAGTAACAATTCTGTATCCCCCTCAGTAACAATTCTGTATCCCTCAGTAACAATTCTGTCTGTCCCTGAGTAACGTTTCTGTGGCCCTAAGTAACGTTTCTATGGCCCTAAGTAACGATTCTGTGGCCCTAACTAACGTTTCTCTGTCCCTAACTCTCTCCCTGAATACAGCCAGGTCTGCCTCTGTTGAATGACTGGAGGCAAATGGAGAATTCTAAAATGGCCGCGCCATTTATAGCTCGACCATTACACTGTGCTGGCTGGCTG